ACAAGTTTCCTGTTTTCTTAGGCTCGAATCTGCCGCGGCTTTTTTGTGCCAGGCCCTTAAGACTGAATTGCCCTTCGTTGGGATGCGTTTTCTCGTTCGGCCCCGGCGGGAGCACCGTGTGGCTCTTTTAAGCGAATAACAACTCAAATAAGCGTATAAAAAAAGCTCAATTTATCTATTGCCTCAGCGCGAGGGGTGTGGTGGGGCGGTGGGATGCGGTCTCTGCTGTCGCATTTGTTGGCGGTAGGGTTTTGTGCGTCCGTGTAGAAACAGGGAATGCGCGGGGCTGTTTGTGGTTTGGGCTTACCTCTGGAACAAAAACCACATTTATGCTTCGTGCCTTGTTTCAAAGCAGCATCATGGAAAACCAGGGTTGGAAGAGACCTTGGAGCTGCGTGCGTCCCGGAGATGCTCTTCCTGTTAGGAAATGCTTTCTGACGTGCAGCCTAAATCTGCCATCTTCCACACGTTAGCCAGCGCCTCCCACCATTCTTCATCACTTTTCCTTCCAGGCTCCTTGTCCTTCTGGTTGCTCTCTGCTTATCCACTTTGTCGGTGTCTTTCTTAAAATGGGGTGTCCAGAAATGGATGCAGTATTGACGTTTTCTCAGTTTTGACACCGTTCGTGCAACTTAGGATTGTGTTTGCTGTTTCTGCAGCGGTGGCTCATGTTCAGCTTGTAGTCCACCAAGGCTTTCCAAGATCCTTTCGGATCCCCAGTATGCTCCCCAACCATGCTGATTTTCCTACCCAGATATAGGACTTTGTATTTTTGTGTTGAAATTCAATTTGCTGGTTTCTGCCATTGTTCTAGCTTGCCAAGATCCTTGTTTCTTAGTCTGCAGACTTCTGACTTGTTGCCTCTGTTTGCCTAGGCTTCTCAGTCCTTTTCCTGAAAACCGGCTTTTTTGCTTTCTGTTTCTGCAACTTTCAAATCTTCCGCTTTCTCGCCCATCCTCCCATGGCTCCCTTGTCGTCCAACAGTTCAATAATTCCTAGATTATTAGGCGTCTTGCTTCTGCTATGTTTGATTTTAGGAAAGGTGTGACCTTAATATCATTAGTGATCCATTTGCATTTTTCACGAGGAGGGAACGATGGTTCTCCTCGGAGGCGTCCTGCAGCCCCCCCGGATGCTCTTGCCTTTCTGCAAGTTGTGAACGAGATGCCATTTTTGAAGGGACCGCCTTCGCTGCAGCTGCCCGACCCCCTGGATTCTGGATTCAGGCAGGGCCGCAGGGTTTCCCCACGCTGAAGGGCCCACGTCAGTGGTTGTGTGTGACTCAGGCCCCTGGAGTGGTCCCTGCAGGGCCTAAGCTTGCCTTGCCCCCCAGGCCCCCGGAATCAGGTGTCATCCTGGGCAGCCTTGGAGGGGCTGCTCGAGACTGAAATTCACCGCCCACCCTGGAGGGTCCTTGGTCTTGGGGTCAGTGGGCGTCTTGGCGGCGGGCAGAGCGTTCATTTCTCCAGGCAGTGAGGGGGCTCCGGAGATGGGAACGGTTCCTGGGTGCAAACTTGGGGCAATCTTGGGGTGAATGGGGGAAGCTCAGCGGGGCCTCTGGTCACTGGTTGGGCTTCGAGCTAGCAAGGCTGAGCATTGCAGAGACCTCTGGCCAGAGGTTTGCGAAAGGGGGTGAGTGGGTGGGCAGAGCCAGCTGTGGGTCCTGGCAGTGGGCCACCTTTCCCATCCAGGCCATCCAGGCTGTGGATTGGGGCCGCCTGCCTGCATGGGACGAATCTTTTTGCTTGGATCCGCGAGAGACATTTCTGGGGAACCCTGCAGATCTGAGAGCTCCGGGCCCAAGGGCCCTTTACCTCCTGCACCCCCAGCTCTCCCTTTAGACCCTGGGATGCTGGCGGGAAGAGGTACCCCGAGGGATACCCACAGCAGCTCTGTGCCACCTGCCCCAGCGGGGGGGAAGCCGGGCCCTCTGGCCCTTTCCTGCGCCTGCTGTTCAGGTCAGAGGCGAGGCCATCCTGCGTGCCAGGCAGGCGGGCAGAGAAATGAGCTGGGATCTTTCTGTGGCTCCTGCCTTTGGAGACCAGCAGGTGGGGGACAGAGAAAGAGGCAGGGGACCACTCTTGGCCCTGCCCTCATCTCCCCCCAAATAGTGGGGGGGAACACTGTGAACAAGCAAAGCACCCTGAAGCAAATGCCAGCTTGAGGCAGACGCAGGGAGAAGGAAGGCCTTTGTTCTCCAGGCCCCTTCAGCGCACGTTCGTCTTTGGAAAGGGTCGGAGGCAGCTCTTCTCGCGAGGGGGCTTCCAGCAGTAGGTGGAAGGGACAAATAAAAACTGCAGGTTAAAAACTAGGTACCTCCAGAGCCTATCCCGTTGGGGCCCCATCGGACCCTTTATTGCCACGGGAAGGGGTGCCTGGTGTGGGGGAGGGCCCCGTGCCGCTCCTGGAGTGCAGGGGGCTGCTTCCGCGGCCTGCCAAAGACTCAGCCTCTCCTGGGCCCCAGTCGCCGCAGCAGCTTTCCTCGGGGATTCAAGGGCAGGACCGGTGGAGGCGCGAAACTGGGTGTCCGGGGTTGCAGCCCCACAGCGGTGGCTTTCCCAAGGAGCGGTGAGTGAGGGCTCCAACCCCTCCCTGCTTTTAGGGAGGGAGCTCCCCAGATCCCCCCACAGCTTTTTGTGTCCACTCAGCTCCACCCCGAGTTTGGCCTGCTGCTCCGCTGGCTGCCTGGCCCCTGTGCCTGGCTTCCTGCTGCCCCCACCGGGCGTTTCCGAGGAGAGGGTCCGGCTCTGACTGGTGCTTGCGCTCTCTCTCGCAGGAGATTGCTTCTTACCTGATCACCTTTGAGAAACATGAGGAATGGCTCTCGGGTTCCCCCAAGACCAGGTAGGGGGGCCTGTCCCTGCTGACCCACGGCCGGGGCATGGGGGCGGCAGAGGCCCAGCACAGCCCCCCCCTTGCTGGCGGCAGCAGCTGCTGCTGGTGCTTTGGGTCTCCGAATTCCCTTTTCAAGGGGGTTTGGGGTAACTGGCACATCCTCCCTGCCTCCCGTGTCCAGCTGGTCTGCTGGTTTTGTCCAAGCCACTTTTACCCCATGGTTTCTAACAGCAGCCCTCGCCGGGTCTTTCCAAACGCGTCAGCATAAAGAGGCGTTGAGCATTAAAGAGCGAAGGCCAGTTAAAATCCACAAAGACTCCCCCAGCCCCGTCCCAGAATACGGGGTGGCCAGGAAGAAGTTGCTTTGCAGGAAGGCGGCCGCTACCCACATTGGCAAGGCGTTTTGCCTCCTCTCTCCCCAGGTGGCTGCCTCCGGCCACGTGAGCCATAACACACCAAACCTTTCTTGGCTGCCCCCGTTCTTGGGGGGCAGTTCTTGGGTTTGGACAGGCATCTGCTCTTCCTCTGCCCGGTTCCCAGGCTGAGATCCTGAAGCTGCTTGCTGGGAAAGGGGTGGACCGTGGCTGCATCCGGATGGGCTTTTGGCCCTCCTGGCTCCCAGGCCTGCTCTCCCAAGGACCGCCCTCTGGCCCTCGGCATTCCAGCCTGACCGGCTTCTCTTCCTGGCAGACCCCAGAACGGCTCGCTCATCCTCTACAACCGCAAGAAGGTGAAATACCGGAAGGATGGCTACTGTTGGAAGAAGCGGAAGGACGGCAAGACCACTCGCGAGGACCACATGAAGCTGAAGGTCAAAGGGGTGGAGGTAGGTCCCTCCCACCCAAGGACCCTGCGGGGAAGGGCTGGGCGCCAGCAGCCGCAGGAGTTCCAGGGCCTTTCTGGGCCC